AAAATTGCAAACTTAAGAAAAAACTGGTGAATGGATTTAGCACCTCATTTATCCTATAAGGTCTTTTTTCGTGTCATCTTTGCCATGGTTACGGAAAAATTGTCACTTTCTGCATAGGATTCGCTATAGAATCCAAGTTTCAGGAAACCTAAATTATCTTTAATGTTGTATAGTAACTGCCACTATATGTAAGTCTTTGGAGTTCACTTGCTCAATAACTTACCTTAAGTACAGATACTTTTGAAAAGTCTTTACTTTACCTAAGGTCCATATAACTTTTTAATTTTGCCAATTTTGATTATTGTATCTATTGTAGTGGATAGTTTAAGATTGAATCTATTATATTAGAGTAGAGTTTGGATAAACGCAGTTCCATTACCATATACCAATTTCGCATTTCTTTCTGAGATTACTATTTTCACGAGATTTTTTGGCATAGCTGTCATATCATTTTACTTTCAGGGACATATATCTCGTGTTTGAGTATATGGAAGCCGATTTACATAATGTCATCAAGAAAATGACCATATTGAAAGACGTACATAAGCAATATATCATGTGTCAGCTGTTCCGTGCTATTCGTTTTTTGCATAGCGGAAATGTGTTGCATAGGTGAGCGACTTGCCAATTTTCCTTTTTTTTTCTCTCATATGCGCTAAGCTGTCATAGCAATGCCTTGTCCGATTTGCAATAAGGACATTGTTGAGAACTTCTCTTAAGAGAAGTCTTAGTCAGCAGGAAAGAGGGAGTCTGGATTGTCGTGAGTGGGAGGATGAGCTGCTCACTGAAATGGTTGATTACGATGAAAGAAGCTTAAATATGGTGTTAGAGCTATTTGTTAATTGAGTAAGGTATTGAATTGTTGGGCTATGAATATTTTGCATTTTTTTTGCAAAGGGTAAAGAAAAACGTTAGGCCTAAGACTCAGATTATTTCCCCGCTTATGCACTCCTGTAGTTGATCTTTGAGCAATTGACATACAGTTTATTCTCTTCTAAAAATAGCTGCATCCTGCCTGCCTTTAAACTTGAAAAAGCTCCAAACGTTTGTGCCAATCGTGCTGTACTTTATATTTCCTTCATTTAAGACGTAACGGATACGATCAAATGTGCATAAAAGGAAACAATTAGGCTTTTATTTCGTATTCGACGAAAATTGTCATGCCGGTGCAACCTTTGACCAGATTGCAGCATGATATCATGTTTAACTATGGGGGCTAATAATATCGAAATGGAGCATTTTTCTTTGAGAAAATTTCAATTATCTAACCGTGTCACTAGCCTACCGTATTATTCTTTTGAGTTAAAAAAAGAAAGAGTTTTCAGTTTTTTTCACTATTCAGGGACTTGAAGCCATCAAATGTTCTGTTGGATGCTGACTGTCGGGTCAAATTAGCGGATTTCGGTTTGGCACGGTCTTTGTCTTCGGTAGGTCTGATAAAAAAATATACCGCCCTATTGAAGTGAGCTCCATTTACGTAAAAATATTTTTCCAGCTAGAAGATTACCCAGAAGGGCAAAATATGCCCGAATTGACAGAATACGTTGCCACACGATGGTATCGTAGCCCAGAGATCTTGCTAGCGGCGAAGAGATACACGAAAGGTGTCGACATGTGGAGTTTAGGCTGTATTCTAGCTGAAATGCTCTTGGGTAAAGATTAAAAGCTGATATGGTATCACCCAGGTAATTTGCCTTCATTCAAGGTCGGGCACTATTCCCTGGAACGTCAACTATTAATCAAATAGAGAGAATTATGAATACTATAGCTCGGCCGAGTAGAGCAGATATAGAAAGTATAGGTAAGTTGGTTTATCTCTATTTTCTTGTTTATTTATTCGATTCACTCATTCGATCATTCACTAATTCGAGAATTGTTAAGGTAGTCACTATGCTGTATCGGTGCTCGACAAAATGCCTCAAAGGCCACGAAAAACATTGGAATCTATGATTACCACTAATAATCCTCATGCTCTTGATCTTATTCATAGGTAAATCAATAATTATAGTTATTATTAGATAATATTTGGTTGATTTTCCATTATAGGTTATTGATTTTCGCTCCACATCGTCGCCTTACAGTCGAGCAGTGCCTCGTTCATCCTTATGTTCTGCAGTTTCATAATCCTGCTGATGAACCGATATTGCCCTATGATGTGAGTATTCGTAAGGAGATTTAGAAGGGTTGTGAATCTTACTTCAAACTATTTCCAGGTAAATCTTCCACTACCGGATCACATTCAACTATCCATTGATGATTACCGTAATAAATTGTACGAAATGATGAATCAGAAAAAGACCCATGTTAAACGAATACAACATGAAAAAATCAAAATTGTAGGTTTTTTTGTTTTCCCTTAAGGTTTTCCAAATATCCCCTATCTATTTGCAGGTT